CTTTTGCCTTTTATATACATATATAGAAGTATGATATATAAACGAATCAAAATAAAAAAATACATGAATTTTAATAATAAGTGTATTGTTTTAACTTTTTATTTAGAAAAAACTTAGTTTAAAATGACATTCATTCATTCACTACATAATATTTAAACTGCCTCGGTGGTGTAGTGGCTAGCATGTATGGATGCACACTCGGAGGTCCTGGGTACGAGTCCCGGGTCGGGCCAAGTTTAGTTATTGAGTCTTTCTGTATAGTAAATCTCAGTAACAGCCCGGAGTTGGGAAGTTGGCGGTGTTTCATCCCCGTGCCTCGGAGAGCACGTAAAGCCGTCGGTCCTGCGCCTTAACTCTCACTGGTCGTGTCGAGTGGTCGTCCCACCGGAGTATGAGAGGGACAGGAATAGAGAGTGGACTTGTGTCTGCGCGTACACTTGTGCACTATAATATCTCCTGCGCAGTTGGCTAGTCTCAACGAGATTAGCCGCCGTAGCCGGAATCGGCTAGGAGAACATCATCATCATTTCGGTACAGTTTCGATATTATTTTATTTCGAAACTTAAATAGTATCGATACTATCAATAATTTATGATTTGTGAGCACAACACTATCGACAATATCGATAGTATTGTGGTCCGTAATAGTATTGTTACATTTCCAACTATCGATAGAACTACCAAAATTCGAACTATCGGTCAATATCGATTAATTATAGATATGCTATCGATGGGCTGCACGAGTTTGCGCGCATTTGATGTTCTATCTAGTCTCTAGACATTAAGTATACAATCAAATCCCATGCAAAAGTTCTCTTAAAACTATCACCAATTGCGTCTAGTTGAAATAAGTATACAACAATGTAAATTGAATCTTAAATGCAACGCTTAAAGTTGTTTGTGAAAGAACGACAAACAAACACACTTTCACATTTTTAATATTAGTATTAATAAGGGTAGTATTGATGATAATATTAATACACAACGAAAATACATGCTTTTTTAGCGTCATAGATGTGTGATTTTTGCAATATTCAAACGAGCACCAAGGCATGTTTACCATCAGAGCGTTCGAATGCTACTAAATTAAAAGCGCGCCCAAATGTTCAAATGAGCGCTCATTCGGTGAGGACATTTATTGTCGCTGATCGTGTATCTAGTTCTTTTTGATTGATGATGATACCACAAATGTATACCCCGATGTACACAAATACTTAATAAGTAGCGATTTCAATAGAAATAAAAATGGGGAGAGAAATCGTTGTAGTTTGTACCTTCTATCTGTAGAAGGAAACGTGACAACAAAAAAAAACATATAAAGGAATTAATTTATTAAATTGACAAATTATTAAATTTCTTACCAATAAATTATTAGAATTACATACATATATGATAGATCAAAAATTAAACCAATATTATTGACAAAAAATGCACATTAAAGATGGCATACCTATAATAAATTTAAAATTACCACTATAATATTGAAATAGAATGGAAATGACAAAATGAGATTATAACACTATGTTAAAACTATATTAATGGCCGATTTCACCAACGTCACCTAAGTTTAAGGGATCCCCTAAGCATGGTTAGGGGGCTGTTAGGGGACAGTTTCTGTCTCACCGACAGTTAGAGGTCACCTAAATGTTAAAATGCCACCAACATATATTATGTACTAGAAATACCGGCTCCTCTGACGATGGTAAAACGAAATTTAATTTAGGGGCTAGTTTAAGGGAACTTTTAAGCTAGGGATCCCATACGTAGGTAGTAGCTTATGGGTTGTTGGTGAAAACGGGCATAAATCTCCTAAAACGTTAATTCAATTGACACATTTAAATAAATGTATAAATTTTTAGTAAAAAATAATTTTTTCCTAAATTTTTTAACTTTCCATGGGCTGTTTCAAATATCTAAGGTCTGCCATCCCTTGTAATATATACCATTTTTAATCAAAGAAATCAAAATTCTAAATGTTCATAAAAAAAATTGTAAAAATTATTTTTTCTTATAAAATACAGAATTACAAAAACATACCTACTACCAAATTATTCTTTGGACCTCATCGAAATCCTTCCAAATGATTTCCTTTGTGAAAAACAAATGGAATGTCACCGCATTAATTATTAAATACCAAATAAACTCGCTTAACACTATTTTGTACGATGGCTGAACAAATCTTAGCCTAAGTATTATGTATGGAACTAAAAAATAACGGATATCAACCAGCCTCTGTAAACCTACAACTAAAAATAAACTAACACAAAAGGGAACTAAAAACGAGATGCAGTTCTGATCTTTTAAATTGTCATATAAATTGAATAATAAGAATATATATACTGGTATCGTTACATATGCAGCAAAATCATATTTCCCAAACCAACGATTCCAAATATAAAAGGTATAGTGACGGTTATCTGCTAGTAAGTAGGGGTGAACAATTGTGTTATAATGAACTACTAAAGCAAAAATTACACCTAGGAGTAGAACAGCAGTTTTGTTTTTATATATTATTTTTAATGTTGAAACAAACTTTGCGAGAACATATGGTAACCCAAATACTCCATAAAATATTAAAAAGTAAAATAATTGAGGCAGATGAATTGTCATTTGGTGAGCTTGCTTATCACCTACAACGATAGATCCATTAAAATACAAGAAAACTACAAATAATAATAATATGGCAATTTGCTGTATTATAACAAACCAATTAGATACAGTGAAAAATCTAAAGAAATTTGAGAAACACGTTGATATATGATATCTTACAGCAATAACGAGATCCATAATACCGTAATAACGTTTTAATTTAGATGAATCTACATCTTTAGCAATGAATGACCTTTTACTAAGAGATGTTTTTGATAAATAACGATTACCAAACACTCGTGAACTTTTGATTAGGATATCCAATATTTTATGACCTAACACCATGGCTACCCACACAACATTGGTTTGTCTCATTAAAACACTACAAGTTCCAATAATCATCACCAGCCATTTACTTCTACTAACTATACTTAATCGTGAAAAAAGTAACAAAAATAATAATGACAAGGTGTCTGTGTAATAAATATGAGAAAAAAAGTAAAGCGGGGGAAGTATTGCCAAATTTAGAGCCTGCAGAACAATTTTAAGTCTATTATCATTATAATAACCATAAATGAATTTTAATAATGATGAAAATAAAATAAAATTAATACATGATCCTATTAAGTTCACAAATCTTAAATTATAGGTGGTACATGGAAAGTATAAGCCAACAGTCAATGCTGACACCAAGTACAGTCCTGGTAAAGTTGTTATTTTAGGATCCCAGTAGGTGAAGTTTCCATTACAACAGGATATGCCTTGAGGTATATGAAATAATTCATCTATAACTATTTGTGATGCTTCATTTACTTTATCAAATAATACTTTTGATACTCCAAAATATACAGCTACAGTAGTGAATAGATAAAGATAATATTTGGTAGATGCTTTCATTTTGTTGAGATTTTTGATCCTGCAACCAAAATTAATCATGAACATCATTATGTTTTAATTTAAAAAACATAACATATTTGATTTCTCAATCGATAATTCAATAAGAACAATTATACTGTTAAATGTTAATAAGCCATTTGTAATATTAATATCTATCGCCGGTGTGTTTCTAACAAGTTTAATATTTGACTTCAATTAAAATCTCATAAATAAAGATATTTTTTTTACCTTTTTCAACTTCTCAGGAAGCCAGTTCATAGAACAAATTACTGAAACACTGATTGATGACTAGATTGTTCCAAAATGTGTTTTAGAGAATATTTTATTTCAAAAACTGATAACATTAACAACAACGCGACATCGCATGGCGGCATTTTTTGACAGAAGCAGCCATAGATATTAGATCATAGATGGATCATGGACAGGAGGAAAGTCGACAAAAATGCTTTCGAAATGCATCTATAATGGTATTGTTTATGGTTATTGGTTAATAACTTTCAATTCAAATTACAATTATTGCTGACAATTATCATAGGTTCAAATTATTATTCACCTCAATAATCCATATTTATATACTTAACATTATAAATGTGCAAGTGTTTGTTTGTCCTTCTTTCATATTGAAACTAGAAGTCATGGTATAGCGTAATTTGATCTGTAGATAATTGAAGGGCTGGAGTCTGGAGAGTGACACTATAGGGCACTTTTACCGCGGAAGATTATCTCACTCCCACATAAAAATACGTTTTAATAGAACCTACAAGAACTCGTCATACCTATGTATGTATATATATAATGTATAGTCTATCTATTCCATGCATATTTATTTAGAAAATTAAACATATTTTATCTACTCTACCAACAATATCACTACATATTATAAAATAAAATCCCCCGTCCGCGCCGCGTCTGTCTGGCGTCTGTGTGTCTAAACGCGATAAACTCAAAAACGACCTAAAGGATTTTCATACGATTTTCACCAATAGATGGAGTGATTCAAATTATACAACTAAAGGTTTTGAATAAATTGACTGAAATATGATGATGATTGTTGAAGATGTCGATGATGATGATGCTTCACTGGCGTGCTAATAAAGTTTTATGAAAACAATGTATTACAGAATTATTCCTCTGACAAAGATCTTCCTCTTAAATTATAACAATGCTATGTGCACGTATCTAAAGACGCACCCAAGCGAAGCGAGGGTACGTCACTAGTATACAACAAAATTACTGATGCAACGTGTTATTTATTTTTATGTTCTAAAAATCGTTTCTTTAGTAATTTTTTTTATAAAATTGCATTAGATTAAAATTAAAAAAGAAAGTGCGCTAGTGTAGCTCTAGCTGCAATTTTGTAATCTATGCCTTTGTCTATGTCAGAAATCAAAATGACAAAACAATATTTTTTATAATCTGTGATTCAACGGCCGCATATTATTCAAAAGTTGTTATTTTTCTAAATAATTGTTCATTCATGTTGACTCAATTTAAAATTAGTTAGAATTATAAGCGATGGAAGCTAATAATTTTATTGCAAAGATTAAAGTTAGTGGTGTTGATAATGATAACTATAACATCGGTGAAAGTTTAGCTGAATACCTGGAGATAGTGGATAAATTATCATCAAAAGATAAAAGCACATTTTCACTGAACGTCCTGTGTATTTTGTGCAGGTAATTTATTGACAACAACAAAATTATACTTTAATAAATCTATACTTATATTATAAAGAGGTAAAGTTTGTGTATTGTGAGTTTGTGAGCTTTTAACGTTGTAGGGTGTAATCTCTGGATCTACTGAATCGATTTAGATGAAGTTTGGTAGGAAGATAGTTTGAGACCTTGGGAAGGACATAGGATACTTTTATCCTGGAAATCATGCTTTAAGGGGTGATAATAATGATGAAAGTTTGTACGGGGATAGCTAGGGACGAACCCGAGCGAAGCGAGGGTGAGTCGCTAGTAGTATTCATAAAGTAGAAATAGTTTTTAAAACTTATTCAGTGATTATAATCTCTGGTTGACAGTGTTTAATTTTTTCTGTAAAATACAAATATTGTTGAACGTAATCACTAATTCAAAGTACATATGGTAGTTTTTCTCATCCAAATTTATTTCAGGAATCTAGACAAAGTCCCCAAATGGCGGGACAGTATCGACAACACGGAACTTCTGAGGCTCAGTATACAATGTTTAAGACACACTCGATCATTAGAAGGGTCAGAACATCAAGTTAAAATGTTATCTTGTATATATCATATACATAAGCACATTGTAAGACAAGTAAGTTATCAAGTACAAAACACAGTTAAAATGTGTCAAAATAATGAAAAAGAGCAATAAGATTATAAATATTTTAAAATAGAAAGTATAGAATATATAGTTCCTCTGTTATATTGCATTTACCCATAATTAATAGTACATTCAATATGGTTTACCACTTCATTCAAGTTGGTTAATTTAAAATTAGTAGTATAGTTTTGTTTCAAATTCTATACACTTCATATAAATTAAGGTTTAAATATAAAAATTCATACTAATATAAATGGGAAAGTTTGTGAGGATGGATGTTTGTTTCTCTTTCACACCAGAATGGCTGAACGGATCTAAATGAAATTTGGCACAGAGATAGATTATAGTCTGGAATAGCACATAGGTTACTTTTTATTCCACAAAAATTTTCTGTTCCCGTGGGACAGATTTATTTTTTCTAGGAAAGAACCCTAAGCGAAGTGATGGTGAGTTGTTAGAAACTTCATATTCTAGGCAGAAGCTTTTTAGACTATTCTGAGTGCTGTTTAAGATTGCGAATTCATGCTTTCAAAGAAATGTTTCAACTATCTCTTTGCTAGTTTTAATTTTTTTTAATTTGGGAAGTTGCTAGTGCAGAATACACCCAACAATTTTTTAAACTAATAGACAGAAATGTGTATTTATTATAAGTACCATACATAATTCAATATGAATTTAGTAAAAAGCTGTTATTTTGACATTACAAACAGACTTAAATTTTATTTATCTGTATAAATTAGTGTAAATAATTTAATTTTATTTTGGTATATTTCATAAGATATGCTTTTGTTTTTTCAGACTTCTTCAGTACCACCAGAACTTGTTCTAAAACTTTCTTTTATGCCATTTGAGTTTGATCATAGTAACTTACTGAAAGATTATTGTAAGACATATTGGAGTATTTTATGTGACAGACTAACATATATAGAAAAATTAAAAACTTTAAACATGCCTATAGTCAAATTGCTGTTAAAATTAACAGAAGATATCATAAAAACTATTAATATATATGATACAGTGCAATTTTGTACCAACTTGCTACAGTTTCTTATTAAAAAAGTCCATTTTATATTTAATGATTGGCCAAAAGATCTCAACAATATGTTTGGACAGATATTTGACTGTGTTTCCAAGAAAGACTTAAAAAGCTTTAAAAGCCTACCAGAAAAAGAATGTTTAGACTTATATGTGAAGCTTAATGATATTTTGTATATAGTAACGGATAATTCGTTAAGAAATAATTTTAATCACTCAGTCTTAGATATAGTAACGAGAGTGTGTATTTCCCTTCTCGGACATCGTCCGGACATGTTTCATTGTTTCCAAACCTTTTATTTGAACTCTTTCTGCTGTATCTTTAAAGATAAAACTAATTCTACATTAATAGAAAATGTTCTAAACAGTTTATTGGTGTCATGTCAAATGACAGAGAAATTAGGCTATAAACACACTCTATACATGACATATCCTTTTATTAGTCAACTTGTAAGGCTGTTTATAGAGGATATAGTAAACGAGAAGGACTGTAAAGACTATTTTAACGAGACTGTACAAGAGAATTGTCTGATATTGATGCAGTTTTTAATAAAAAAAATGGAGAAAACAAATCAATTGTTGAAATGCGAGAATTGTAAGGCAAAGTCTGGTTTGCACGATGCATTGCGTTTGTCGTTTCTCGTTAAACATTTCGTAACGATATCAACAAATAACGGGATTGTTATAAAGAATTACTTATCCATCTATTATGAAATAGTTGAACAACAGTATGCAATTTTGATTGATTTAAGAAAACTAGATTGTTTTAACCACGAGAAATATTTTAGAAAATTACAAACAGACGTACACAATACAGCAATTTTGTTGAATAAATGCCAATTTTATGATTTTTCCATTAAGTTATTTGAATTATACTTAAAAAATGAATTGAAAAATATAAGAAGTGATGCAGAATTAAAAAATATAAGCCGAGCTTTGTATAATAAAAGTATATGTGAATTGGATTTCAAATTGTATAATGAATCATTGCAAAATGCTTATTTGAGCCTGATTTTCTCTCTACCTGGTTTGAATTCTGAGAAATACATGAATTTAGTGATGGACATCAAGGCAAAGGCATTGAAAAGTGTAACGGAAGATGAGGAAAGTAACGATTTACAAATGACATCCATTTTGGATGTGTGTACATTATTGTATGATGATAATTTGTATGGTAATTTGAAGCCTTATATGAAGAATTTAAAATTCAGGTAAGCACTAGCTATCTAGTAAAAAAAATATTTCGGGATCTGTTTTTTTTATATAATTTTTTTTTTCATTGTTATATGATTTGTATCATATTGTGTAATTACTAGTTATTTTAATTTAAACTGTTTGGATGGATGTTTGTTACTCCATTAAGCCAGAACGGCTGAACGGCTCTGGATGAAATTTGGCACAGAGATAGATTATAGTCTGGAATAGCACATAGGCAAGGCACATATTATTTTTATCGCGAAAAAATGTACGATTCCCGTGGGATAGATTTGTTTTTATCTTCGGATGAATCCGAAATCAAGCGAGGGTGATGCGCTAGTTATTTATAATAATAGTTTTCATGTTTGATTTTATATTCTTTTTTCATTTTCAGCATCCTTTTAAAACACGAATTTTCAATGTATATCAAGCTATGGCCCTCCATAGTGCCTATAGCCGGTGTTTGGAAGTCGTTACACGATTTACTGAAGAAGAAACATAACTGGGTCAAAGGTAAATAACACAACTAATCAGATATACAATCAGCGATAAAAAATTTCCTCACGGAATGAGTGCTCATTTGAAAATTTGAGCTCGCTTTTAATTTTTTGTTGTGTGAACAACTTTAAGCTTTGCCATTTGAGGTTCAATTTACATTGTTGTATATTTATTTCTACTAGAACAATTACCTAAACACAATTGGCGACAGCTTTAAGAGAACTTTTGCATGGGATTGTGTATCTAGTACTTTTTTTATTGATTGTGTACGTTCACCGATTACTCAAAGACGCATGGACCGATTTGGCTTTTTTTTCGAAGGGTATACTTTCCAGGTGGTCCTATTTAAATTTAATCGAAATCAGTCAAGCGGTTTTTAAAAAAATCGGCAATAATAATACTAGCAAGTCATCCTGGATCCGCTCGGGTTCGTTCCTAGTTACGTTTTAACGTTTACTATAGATTTCTCAGAGATGAGATATTTTCCCGCAGTAAAAAGTACCCTATATGTGGACCCCAATAACTAGTTATCATCATTCCAAACATTAAAATCTGTCCAATGGTTTTTTCACGATGCGTTCACAGACAGACAGCCTCAGAATTTTATTACACGTATAGAAGAATGCAAAAGCCTACGTAGCTTTTGCATTAACGAAATCGACGTTTTTTGACGTCGTAAGTTTGTTTGTCTGTTTGTTTGTGTAAATAAAATAAATGAAACAGTCACATCAGTGTTAATATTTTTTTTTTTTAGATGAAAACGAAGATCTATTATTATGGACTTTATATGAAATTGTATTACAAACTCCTTCATATGTGAGGACTATACATAATGAGTGCTTCAAAAATATTGTGGATGAACTGCTCGAAAGATTTAAAGAAACTCCGGTAAGGATTTTCTACAAATAAATAAAATACAATTATTAAAAATCTTAGTCGGTTTATTCCGTCTAATCTCCGAAACTGTTGGATTGATTTTGACGAGACTAACTGGCGGATAGCTGATGTTATAAAGAGTAATTTAGGCTACTTTTATTTTAGAAAAAGAACTAGGGTTCTGCTCAAAATTTAAAACGTACAGGGACTCACCCGAGTGAAGCAGGGGTAAGTTATAAATATTATAAGTGTGAAAGTAACTCTGTCTGCTTGAAATGTTATCACGATTAAACCGCTGAACCAATTTTGATGAAGTTTGGTATATAGATGGATGACCTTGGAGGTAAAGGCTACTATTTATCGCAAAAATGATACTTGAAGGGAATGAAAAAGAAGTTGAAAGCTTGTATTGGAAAAAAATCATTTTGCAAGAAAAGGACAAAAAATCGTTACATATAACAATTATCCATCAATCAAAAAACTACTAGATACACAATCCCATGCAAAAGTTCTCTTAAAACTGTCACCAATTGTATTTAGGTAATTTTTGTAGTTGAAATAAATATAAAACAATGTAAATTGAATCTTAAGTGCAATGCTTAAAGTTGTTTTTACAAAATAAATATTAAAAGCTCGCTCAAATGTTTGAATGAGCAGTCATTCGGTGAGGATTTTTTTTTATCGCTGATTGTGTATCTAGTAATTTTTTAATTGATACATATATATATCCTATAATTATGGTGTGAATTTACAACAATACATTGTAATTTTTTCATATTATTTAGAGGTCAACACAAGCCGTAAATGGAAATATCCTAAACCTCTTACAGCAAAAATTCACTATTCTGTTGCGAATTTGAGGTCGATAATTCAAAATTAAATACTAAAAATAAAAAAGGAGGCCATGGAATGGATCATAATTAAAATGATCTTTCATATTATGTATTTACACTTATAGAAAAATTGTTTTTTAAATATGAAAATTCCTGTACGGACTCTTAAGAACCTTTTTTTAATTTGTTTATATAAATTAGTTGTTTTTTTTTTATTTTCAGGCACGCGTTCAAAACAAAGTGGTGTTCGCCTCTTTGCTGTTTCTAAAGGCGGAATATGATATTACCGAAGCCAGTTTGAAATACGGATGGAAGGTCCAACAAGTGAGTGTATATATTTATCTTTGCTATTCCTATATGACCTAGTGGTCTAGTGGCTAGCATGTAGGGCTGCATATCCGGAGTTCCTGGGTTCGAGTCCCGGTTTGGTCCAAGTTTAGTTATTGCTGGTTTTTCTGTTAAGAAATTCTCAGTAACATCTTCGAGTTGAGAGTGAGATGCATAGGACTGCATAAGATTGTGGCATTATTTATTTGTATAGATATTATTTTGAAGTCCCAAACGAAGTCTACCCTGAATGTTTTTGTTTTTTTTATTTTCCTCAGACAACAGATCCGGAACAAGTGCAAGTGACACGTACCATAGAGCAGGAGCATAGAGCTTTGACACACGCCCTAAAAGCAGTTGACGTATTGACAGACATCTTGCCGTATTTGAAAACAGGTAAATTATTATTTTGATTTTTATATCTGACTCACGACGATACGTTTCGCTCTGTTTGTAGTGACCCTACTTGCTGTACCAGCGGTCGCGGGTTCTAGTCCCGCTGGGGGGCATACATTTGTGTGACGAGCACGAATGTTTGTACTCCAGTCATGGGTGTTTATATTTAAAGTTATATATGTGTAGTGTATCAACTATCTGCTATCCATAACACAGGCCTCGTTGCTTACCATGGAACTAGATGGTGCTGTGTGTTAATGTCAAAAAAAGACAATTATATTCTGGAAACTTCTATCCCTTTCACACAATGTTTTAAATATCGGTACCGAGGTCCGAGTAGGCGAGTTACTTATATAAACTTAATTTTCTATTTTAGTATTGTAAATGATTTATTAAAAATGCTAATAATAATGAGCAAATAAAATAATTATATTGGCAGCGGTGGGATTCGAACCCACGCCTCCGAAGAGACTGGTGCCTTAAACCAGCGCCTTAGACCGCTCGGCCACGCTACCACTGAGCTTTAGCTTCAAATATCACAATCGATGGGAATTATATTTATTTTTGTTTCATACAACAAAAATATTTTTTTATTACATTACATGTTTACTGGGATTATTTTTATTAATACCATGAGTTTATCATTTTGTGATGTTAGTTTAAAATTTATTCAAATGATATATATTAGCGTTTTCCAGCGAATTTAAATATTATGTATATCTTTAAAAGAATATAATCTATACTCGTACTTCTATATTAATATTATGAAGAGACAGAGTTTGTTTGTTTGTTTGTTTGTTTGTTTGTTTGTTTGTTCTACAATCTCAGAAAGTACTAATCCGATTTAAACAAATCTTTTTACACTAGATAGCCCGTTCATTGAGGAAGTCTATAGGCTATATGTCATCATGCTACTACCCAAGGGAGCGGAGCAGTAATATAATATGGCAGTAGTATATAATAGCAAATTTATCACAAAAAAATATAATTTAAAATATTCATTTTAAGAAAAAACATCGCCGCGTATACTCACCAGTTCCCTCCAGATATGGCAAGTTTTCGTACAGCAACTGCTATGTATGGAGCAGTTGGCACACGGCTTGCACTTGGCGCTCATTTGCTGCCAAGTCGCTGAAGTTAGTGAAGATAAGTGAGTATTATAATCGTTGTATAATTTTGTGGGTAGGTGCTGTCTGTAACAACTATATAAACACCTTAGAGAGTCTCTCTCCGGTGAACATGTGCGGTGTAGAAAATGCGACAAGTCCGAAATTAAAAACCAAAATAAATACGCGAAAAAATCCGAAAAGATAAAAAATAACATTAGTGTTTCAATCATGTTTATTTAAAGAAGATTTTAAAAACATTCTATACTGATAAATTTAAAGAATGCTGATGATTTACGTTCTGTTATGGGTTCCTGGATGAGACCCTTTAAAAAAAAAAAAATTATCACTGAAAACACTAAATAAACAATTTTTTTTTATGCAATCAACGAATTTATATTGTGATTCAGGTAAGGTAAAATGAAAAGATTAGAAAAAAAAGATTATAAAAAAACATGGACAAAAAGTCTGTGGTGTTCGTAGACTCACTTGATAAAAATAAATATTTAAAAAAAAAATCTTTGTTTAAAAACAAACAACAACAAACAAATAACAAATAAACAACAATAATTTGTATACTGGCAACATACCTTCGCTTTGCTCGGGTACGTCGTCCCGGGTACGTGGATTCTGTTCACGACTTCATGGGTTTTAATTTTTTTGCGCGGAACCCTTTTTTTTTTTTAATGTTGGGAAATGCATTTTTGCACGAGATGTAAGAGTCACCGGCAAAGCCAGTACTACCCACTAAAACCCAACAAAGCCTTCCCCCGTCTTAATGGGGCGTCGCAGGATCGCTTACGCATTTCAACTACGACGCCCCGACGGCAGGTCTGCCGAAGCAGACCACAACAACCACGGGGTTGCTCCAAGGTCCACTCTGCTATCAGAGAAGTACCAGGAGCAACCCGCATGGTACACCGCCCTCCGAAGAGGGCCACCTCCCACCGCCCACCGAAGTGGGCCACCTCCCTGTGCGTTTCTTGGCTTTGCGCCCGGTTGGGTTGCCGGGCACTACTGAGCCCCTCCACCACGACAAGGTGAACGCACGTTGGGGGGGTTTGCGCGGAACCTTGATTTTTTTTCTAAAATAAAAGTAGCCCAAGTTACTCCATATAACATCAGCTATCTGCCAGTGAAAGTCCCGTCAAAATCGGTCCAGCCGTTTAGGAGATTAGCTGAAACAAACAGACGACTGACAGTCAAATTTTAAAAACTTTGTTTTTCTCGCTAGTATATTATTTAATTTTATATATTATATTTTACAGACTAGCGTATGTGAGAAACGCTAGCGCTCTTATAAGCTATATGACGAAAAATGGCGAATTTGAACCTATAATGGTGCAAGCGACGAAGTATTGTGGAGGGCTACTGGTGAATGCTGAAGATTTAGATGTTGCTTTGGTTTTCCTTTGCGAGATGGCGGTATGTATATTTTTATTTATATACTAGCTGTACCCCGCGGTTTCATCCGCTGGACGGTTTTTATAAGGAAAATGATGGGTGTTGACTGTAAAGATAGCTGATTCGTTTATATATTATGAAGGAAGGAAAAGGATTCGCCAACCTGGTAGCTGCTGCGTTTCATACACTTCTCACTTCACTCCAGAGTAATTTCATAGTTACCAAATGCACTAGCTGGCCAGCTGAACGCACGCGCGTAATTTACACTAACAGGAAGGTAGGATGATAGGTCTTACCATGGAACTAGATGGTGGTGTGTGTTAATGTACCAACATATTAATCATATATGTACAATTGTACAATTATAATATCATATTTAAATTTGTAATATAGAATGTGTACTTTTACTCAACTTATTATATAAAATTTTTATACTTTTATTTCAGCGTTATTACGTGAAATGTGGAAAGATCAGTGTTTCAGCGAAGTTGGTGGAAACTGTGCAGAAGAAATTGCTTTGGGCTCAGGAGAAACATCCGGGTGTAAATTGTAAGTATTACAGATGACATAATACAGAGATTTGTTGTTAGTTGATACTCACGTAGGATATGATATCAACTCCAGGTAAATTTCTAAGAAATTCTAAAAAATCTATTGTTAACTGTAACGCCGGCGTGTCCGCGCTCGTGGAGGGAATAATTATTGTATTGATATATTGTAAATCTATACAGATAAATAAAATTGTAGTTGTCTGTTTGTGATTTTAAAATGACAGCTTTTCACTAAATGCATGTGGAATTATATACGGTACTTATAAGAAAAACGCATTTTTTTAAATTTTTGTCTGTTTGTTTCTGTTAATCTCCGAAACGGCTTGACTGATTTTGACGGGACTTTCCCTGGCGGATAGCTGATTTTATAAAGAATTAGTTGGCTACTTTTATTTTAGAAAAAGAATTAGGTTTCCGCGCTAAAAAATTAAAACCCATGAAATTGGAAACAAAATCTGTGTACCGTCCGAACGAAGCGACGGTAAGTTGCTAGTTATTATTATTTAAAACTAGCAAAACCCGCGGCTTCGGCTACGATATAAATCTCTAAAAAGGTAGTTTCATACAAACTCTCATCCCCTATTTTAACCCCCTTATAGGATGAATTTCGAAAAATTCTAAAACATGTATTTATTTAATTTTATTAAAGAGCATTAATACAAAGTAATTCTGATCATAAATATTTTTTTGGATTGTATTATAACATGTTATCCCGTGGGAATGAGATAATCTCCTGCGGTAAAAAGAAGCCTATGTCACTCTCCAGCCCTCCAACTATCTCCACACAAAAAATCACGCCAATCCGTCACTCCGTTTCGACGTGAAAGAAGGACAAACAAACACACACATTTATAATAATAGTATGGATATAGAAGAGTAACTGTTGAGTTTCTCTCCGATTCTTCTCAGCATTTAATTTACATTTAAAATATAAAACTGACGATTCAAAAGTGCTTTTTAATCTATTTGAATAAAGTATATTTTTAGGATTTGATTAATTTATTCCAGTTTCACTCTCCACGGGCAGTTTGATGTGTGCTCAGTTTTTGCTCAGACCGGACTCGGGGCTGACCACTCTGAGCGCTCTCAACGCCATACAACGACATTACCTGGCTACGTCCAGTGATTGTAAGTTTATTTTTTTTAATTATATATAAAATAAATCGCCAATATCGGTCAAAAATACTATAAAAAAAAACTTTTTTACCGATTTTATTAAAAAGGAGGATGTTCTCACTTTCGGGATTTTTTGTGTGTATGTTACGGGGTTTTCATATTTGTTTCAATGAATATGTAATATTTTAATAGTTGGTGAAATAAATGAAAATGACGGTGAGTTGGTTAATATCAGCTTCACAAGAGTGTTTTAAATTGTTTTGAGAAATTTGGATGGTATTATTAGGTAGTACAGTTAGATATGTAGATTACTAGCGATTCACCCTCGCTCTGCTCGGGTTCGTCCCTTTTTACGTTATAACAGTATGGAATAGATAGACTATATATTATACTAGCATTGCCCGCGGCTCCGCCCGCGTTCAGATTACCAAAAATTAAATTCTTAGGTTTTACATATTAGTATACTCTTACATTGCAGTTTTTGTATTTTTTCGTAGAAATGAGATTTTACGGCGGTAAAAAGTATTCTATATGTTGACCCGGATAACCAGCTGTCACCATACCAAATTCCATTAAAATCCCTCCAGTGGTTTTTCTGTGATGCGGTAACAGACAGACAGACAAAAATTCTAAAAACTATAGATTCGGCCTCTGTATTGATAATAATGTCTATATCAATAAGATTTACCAAAATATATTTAATGTACAGATTCAGCTCAGTTACAATTTTATTATATGTGTAGATGATATATATTATAGAGTTTTACATCTCTTACTTGATAAATATTCGATTCTGCATACAACCTTCTGTCCCATATTTCACCCCCTTAAGGGATGATTTTCGGGGTAAACATTATTCCTTATTCTTTCCAGGGTCTCAAACTATTTCCATATTAAATTTAATTTAAATGAGTTTAGTGGATTAAGCGTGAAAAGGTTACAGACGGACAGTTACTTTTGCATTTATAATATTAGTATGGATAGCAATAAGGTATATGATTATAACATGACCAAACTAATTATTTTAACGACACGTTTGGCTCAGTTTGCTTGTTAACCTACATGCCGTGCCAGCGGTCGCGGGTTCAAGTCTCGCTGGGGACATTCATTTGTGTGATGAGCACGAATGTTTATACTCCAGTCGTGTGTGTTTATATTTATAATATGTATGTATTTAAAGTTATATACATATGTGTAGTGTATCAGCTATCCGGTATCATAACACAGGCCCCTGGGACTAGTGCTAGATGGTGTTGTGTGTTAATGTCCCAACATATAAATAAAAAAGTACTAACCAACCCCCCCTGCCCCCAGCCGGGCGCTGGTGCGCGCGCCGCACGTGCACGGCGCAGGCGCAGCGTGGCGCGAGCACCGCCGGCGCGCGCGGCGCGGCCACTGCGCGTGCGCTGCGCGCGTGGCGCCGCGCGCTGGCCGCCGCCGCGCCGCGCGCGCGCCTCCCCGCCCGCGCCGCCGCGCGCGCCGCACTCGCCGTCGTCAACACGGCGGGGGACGACGCGCTGGTTAGTCTCAGTGTGGCCGGCATTGAAAACTATCCTATATACTGACCCGGATAACCAGCTATCGTCATACCAAATTTCATCAAAATCCATCCAGTGGTTTTTCTGTGCTACAGTCACAGACAGACAAAAATTTTAAAAACCATAGTTTCAGCCTCTATTGATAATAATGTCTATTTCGATAAGATTTTACAAAAAATATTTAATGTACAGATTCGGCTCAGCTAAAATTTTATTATATGTATAGATAATACAATGCTGTTTTATATCAACAATAAATTATGCATTATTTATATACAAATATACTAATGATATATATAGTCTAAAATTGAATTAAAATAGCAAAAAAAAATTTAGTATATTTCATATACAGGGTCATTTTTAATTTATTGAAAACCTTTTGGAATTATACTATTTACATCATAACAACAACATCTGTAACAAGAAAAAATAAAAATATTTTTAAATTTTACAAAAATAAAAATATTTTTATTGCACCTTCTAAACGGTAATAGTCCAGCATTAGCAAAAGAAAGTGCGTGTCCGGTGGAGGGGGAGGGGTGGCGGGGAGTAGGAAGCCGCGCTTACTCAATTAAACTTGGCCAGATGCTAGAACTTTAAAGTTTAGAAGCTACAAAAAAATATTTATATTTTTGTATGAAAATAAAAATTTAAGAAATATAATTTTTTCTTGTTACAGATGTTGTTGTTATGATGTAAATAGTATATTCCCAAAAGGTTTTCAGTAAATTAAAAATGACCCTGTATATCATAGTATATATTTATCATCTACCAAAAGTTAATACAAAGATTTGTTTCAGATAAAGATCGATAACCGCCTCAAATACATCCTCGGGCTTCAACCGTCGAGTGAAGTTACACAAACAAACATACAAAAACAACAACTGTTCACTCCGAAACATACAAATTTAGAAACCATGAGAGACTGTATGTTCAAAAAAAATCAAACGAGCCCCTCTATCCCTTGTATACCCATCCCAGCCTTCAAATCTCCCGAATTTATGTCCCATACAAGTTGCACGTGCTACGCTTGCGAACCAGTATGTACAATACTTGCATGCAACATATCGTTTCTTGAATCATCCACGTATTTCAGAGCCAAAGAATTTGATGTAGCAAGAAATTATTTTAATGGTACTTTTGAAATGTTTGATTTGGCTGAAATTAAATTGAAAGCTATATTCGACGGTTTTAAACCAAGATTTAATTATTCAGTTATAAAAGTTCTTAAAGATATGTATAGTAATGAATTTAATAATGTTTATATCGAGTTTTTGGTGGAGCTTTCGTTTTTTCATTTGGCCCAAAATGAATTTGAGAAAGCAGACGATTGTATCATAAAGATACATGAAGTTATGACAGGAACAGATGTAGATGCGTATTTAAGGAACGAAGTTCACAATCTAATGGTCGCATCAGCGCAAATAAGAGAAATCGTTAAGTTTAAACCGAAAGAAACCGGCTTAGAAAATGAATTGGAAAATCTTAAACTAAGCCCCGCAAAAGAAACAGATTTACCAAAAACTCCAGAGACCAAAATAATGCCAAAAATACAGACGGTTAAAATAGTTAAAGACGAAGAGATACCAAAAAAACGTAAAGTCATCAAGTTAAATTTAGACGAAACGAGCCCCGACGAAATAGAAAAAACGGAGAAATCGAAACCGAAGTTCAAAATACCGGTGCCTAAACCGATTACGTCGAAACCTGTTTTAGAAACCATAACACCCAGGAAAACCCGGTCTAAACCAGATATAACCATACAAAAACCATCTTTGGATGATGATTTCGAAGTTTTTACTCCAAAAGTGGAAAATGAATCGCAATTTTTTACTCCCTGCCAGTCGACTCCGGCGGAACAGTTTTTCACACCAATGACTTCATTGAAAACGTATTCGAGGAGAATAGTTAAAAATTTAGAAGCAGAATTTTCTACTCCAAAAGCAAATGTGAGTATAAAAGAGAGAGATACACAGCGAAAGAATAAAGTTGAAAGTGGTTCCGTAAAATCCCTAAAAGATAAAAGAATCCTAAAAAGGAATACCAGTCCAGGAAAATTGGTTGAGGAAAAACCGGTTTTGACGAGAACCAGACGAATCCGACAACCGGTTTTGACTGATAATAAATAACTTTTTTATCCAAATATCGTGAATTTTCATATCAATATGCCTTAATCTTGTAATTAATGTATTTTATTTCTATCTTTATATATTTAATTCTTACTGTTTTTTTTTAATAAATGACTATGGATTATAATTGTTTTTATTTTTTTATGATTTTCAGCAAACAAAACCTATAATATTAAACGTGCGTAGTTTATAAATATATGTTACGCGCCGCTAGTTTATTCGAAGACATCAAGTACGCCTTCATACAACCTCTGCGGTGTTCGTCTATGCAGGTGCCAGGCAGGCAGGAAAAGTATGACGACGAAGATATATGGATTGACGTTTGGGGCGGGACGTATGATTTTCTGTTGTGGATATAAATTTTATTAATTACTGTCAATAACGATTATAATATCAGGAAAAGTGTGTCTTTGTTTCACAAAAGATTCGCTTTTATTAACCGGTAATGAACAAGCAATGAATTATCAACCATTCCGTTACAGAAATTTATCGTTTTTTTAACCGGTTTCAAGCCCTCACTAGAAGTCACAAGTTCGAATACCGCATGAGATAATTGTTTAGAAATAGGGATAAAAATAAAAAATAAATATACAAAATAATATTGATATTCGTTTATTTTATGCCATAAAGTTACACAGTAATATTGCAAATAAATAACTTCTAAGCATTACTGACATCTCTATTATGTTCACAGATAAATAATCGTATCTTCTTAATAATAAGTATTTAAAATCGATTTTTACCAAAACAAAATCGATTCATCAGTATTGTTAAAATCTAGAAAAAATAGACTCACAATTTGGACACTCATTTTTGAAAACCTATTTAATAATCGATTTTATTAAAAACTTCCTACAATTCGATACAAAAAGTTGTAGTTTCGAAACATCCCTTTTTATTATATTTTTAAATAAATATTACGTCACAATTACTCCACATCGTCCCAATATTTTGATTAAAAATCAATTTTAAACTACAAGCGTGAGAATACAAAACTATAGGCTATAATTATGTGTAAGTTCTTGCTGTCAGTGCAAAAGGGGCCTAATGGTGAAACTTGTAAAAAAAATTAAAAAAAAAGAAGATAAAAAAACCCGACTGCGAAAAAGCGGACTATATAGATGAGAACAAGTTGACGAAGTAACAACTATAAATAAATATGTTGGTACATTAACACACAGCGCCATCTAGTTCCATGGTAAGCTACGAGGCTTGTGTTATAGATACCAGATAGTTGATACACTACACATCTTCTTCTTCTCCCTGCCCATTTCCCAAATCACTTGGGGTCGGCGCAGTACATCTTCAGTGTACTGCTGATAGGATTTGGCAAAAGTTTTACGACCGGCCGCCTGCTTTTGACGTCAACCCTCCTTGGGAATGCTATTGTCTTTCTTTGTCTGAATGGTGTTAAATATTATGCACTTTCGATTTTGTTGTGTTTTAAAACATTTTTTATACTATTAATTCAATTATTAATGTTATTTTCTGGGTATATTTTAAAATAAATTTCGATTACACAATAAATTTTGTATTGACGTTGTCAAATTTTTTCTTCTAAAAAAAAAGTTGATACACTACACATATATAACTTTAAATACATACATATTATAAATATAGTATTGTGCAGTAGAAAACATACACACATACAGCCATTATAAAACATGTACATATTATAAGTATTATCTCGTCAACTTGTCCTCATCTTTTTAGTCACGTTTTTTGTAAATAATTTTTTAATTTGTTGTTTTTTAGTATTCTCATTCCAAATTAAATTTAAACATATAAGTTGTATATATTTTTGTAAGTCATTTATAAAAACCCTTTAATTTGGCACCCCACTCGATACGTTTTGAGGAAAAAAATTTTTTAAAGACAATGTCGTAAAATATCGGCCATTTTAATTTTTCTAATTTTGATATACTTATCGTCATTCTCACAATAAAGAACAATCTAACGGCACTTAAAAGCTAAAATCTCAAGCCGTTTAGGCTACAAAGCGTGCCAAAGAACTATACACTCAAAAAACAACCATCTTTCAGCTTAAAAAGTAAATAAACATTCAAAGTTAGACCACTTTTGCACTAAAGCCGATACAATCTAACATTAAAAACATTCATAATTTCACCATTTTATTTACATTATTGTAATATTTTAATTATGTTAATATAAAATGAAAAATCCTATTCTACGTGAAACCATGAACGTACAAATAACTATTTCATTATCGAGATTATAACAAGCTACATACATACATAATAAAATGTACTAAACATTTGTTTACAAAATCCACTCATTAAAATTAAATTTTAAAATATCCATTTTTTTTACATTTTTAAATGTAATTTAAATACATTTAAACCACCAACAGTCAAATTAGTAAAAAAAAAATTTTTCTTGTGGAATAAACAAACTATACCTTTGCTTATAAGTCAAACTATAAATTAAAAAAAAAAAGATATTTGACATTTCAAACATATATATTAATAAGTGGTTTTTTAAATACCTTTATCAATCAATAATGATCATTTAAATATTTTTATTTTATTTTAAAAGCTATATAAACGAGGTTGTATGTGTTAGCCGTTAGTTCACTTTCAACTATTTCAACCACATTTATGTTACATATTTAAATACATCGATCAAAAAGTACTAGATACACAATCCCATGCAAAAGTTTTCTTAAAACTGTCACCAATTGTGTTTATTTGATTGTTCTAGTTGAAATAAACATACGACAACGTAAATTGAACCTTAAATGAAAGGCTTAAAGTGGTTTTCTCAACAAAAAAAATATCAAAAGCGCGCTCAAATGTTCAAACAAGCGCTCATTCGGTGAGGACATTTTTTTGTCGCCGAGAGTGTCTAGTATTTTTTTGATCGATGTTGAAAAAGCTAAAACCCACTAAGTCCAAACAATTTGTAGCAAAAGCCAAATATTTAACAGGAAAAAATTACTCACTGAACAACCAAATCGTCATCTCAGTGCTTATTTGTCCAAACGACCAATTCACCGGCGGAGTGTTTAATACAAAATTATTGACATATAATGTTAATTCTATCTTCTATAATAAACACATATTTTAGTTTAATAAAACCAAAAAAAACTATTTAATCTATATTTATAATAAAAAAAAAAAACAAATTCGGGTTAGTTATACCATTTAAGTATAGCTCAAGAACGGCTGGACCGATTTTTATGATCATTGATTTGTTGGATTTGTCTCCGCTCCGAATAGCAAAATAACTACTAAAAATCGTAAAAATTCACAATTCACAGGCAAAAATTCTTTAAAGCATTATTTTGGGTTCTATTGCGAATATACATCCCCATTAATAATTTTTCTCAAATATCTTTCATGTACAGACGGCGATCAGTTACTATTTTATTATATGTATATAGATTAAAAACCAAAAAAACATATTTTGAATAAAGACGTGACTTAGTGAGTTTTAACTTTGCAACATCAAAATAGAATATAATTAAACTATTTTTATCTATATATAGATTAAAATTATTATTTTTGTTCTCTATATACTAACATTATTAATATAATCTGTCATCGTACATTAAAGATTAAACTACTAAATGTTATTTACAATTTTTTATGTAAATAATTAATATACTCAGTTTGTTCATTTAACTATTTCTCATATATATAAGTGAAGTGCTAAAAAATTAGCAACATTTATTTCTACTGTTTTACATATAAGCAGAGCTCGAAATCGGTTTAAAAAACCGGTTAATTTCGGTAACGTAACTGTTAGTTCATCACTCGTTTTTTAACCGGTTAATGAAAATGAACGGTTTAGTAAAACGAAATAAATTATTCTTAGAGAAAGGTTGGATTTTGGTTTCGATATGGAAATAAACCGGTCGATTCATTTATAAGTAGGAAATGTGCACGCATCCTTCTACTAAGCTATTCACCATTGGCAAAGACGCGCCAAATATAAACGCACAAAAACTCATTGTATCCGGTTAATTTTGATTTTGGAACTGAATTCGTCAAAAATTGTTCTCCCAGATTTAATCGGTTAAAGAACGTAACCGAAACCGTACACCGAAAAGCCTTTCGGATTGGGGTCAATGACCAAAACCGGTTTAAAAATTGAACGGGTTTCCGAGCCCTGCATATAAATGACATAACTTCCATATTATATAGGTTATGTGAAACATACATACACACATACATTTAATATAAACAAAACAATAAAAAAATTGCCCATACGCAATAAAAACTACTTGTTAATTTCAACACATTACGGTATATAATGAACAATATTTACAGCGAAGTGAAGCCTTTCTATCATCTTCTAAAAGAAAGCAGTATCTTTTTTTAAACTAGGTAAAAAGATAATATTTTTTTAATCTGTATGTTTTTTTTTTATTCAATAGGTAATATATACGTAAAGGTGGTCCCAAATACATAAAAAAAAGTGCGTGTGTGTACAATTCACACACGGTAGAAGTGAAACTTCAGAACAGAAAACTAACCCATAAGAGAATAAGATGAATATAGAATAGGAGTGGGATAATTGTTAGGTTAATTTATGTTATAATATTTTTACCAAGTTTAGAAGTTATTTTACATTTTATTTGACATAAATATATAACAACAGCGGTTACCATGGCAACATGCAATGTCGCATTTTTGTTTAATCGAGTTTCAAATAACAACGATTCTAAAGAAGTTGCACTTCAAAAGAAAATCAAGCCTATAAAAGTGAAATAATTTTATATCTTTTAATTTGGTATACTTTTTAAATTAAAAAGCATTATCTATATTAAAATAAATTAGCAAACACAAAAAAAGTTCAATATCTTTTTCTCCTCTGTTGCCATATTTTTAAATAATTTTCTTTTTTATTTCTTATCTATAATAACACAAAATCTCGTCAATCGCTAGATTGACTTTAGTTTAAATTAAAAAAAAAATTGTGTTCTTAAATGAAAAAAAATGTAAGCAGGTTTTTAATATAGATAGGTAAATTCTATTTATATATTATGTTTTCCTCAAATTTTCAATGATTATTATCAAACTTCGACCACTGAGCGAACTACTTTAAAACATCCATATTATTTTAGTCATCAACCAACTTCTTCAAAAAGGAGGAGGTTCTCGATTCGGCTGTATTTTTTTTATAATACTGTTAATAACAATTTATGAATCAATGGCATTCTTAGATATGAATTTCCCTACTTTTAGGTTCTACAGTTAACATTGTACAGTGGCGTAGCTATGCCAATGCAACCGATGGGGTCTCATGGGGCCCCTGATTCAAGAGGGCCCCATCGGACCACAAACTATCGTTTCATAACAAACATTTTTTCGAGGAAGGCCCTCACAGAAGTCAAAATGGAAGTTTAAAAAAATACCGCAAGAAAAATGTCCTGAATTTCCGCATATTATTTCATAATAGGCAATCGGGGGACTTCCATTTTTTTGCCAGGGGGCCCAAAAAAGCTAGTTACGCCACTGAATGTACATACATACATATATACGAATATTTTTTACACATTTCTTAAAATTATAAATATGTATTTTATTACAAATATTAAATATTAAATGGAGTTACCATTTCAGGCCATTTAGGGACAACAAAAAAAATTTCGTATACCGATTGGTATACATAAGTACTAAGCAAATACATGTTTCATATAAAAAAAATCCTAACTAATTTTTAATCTGAAAAAATTTGTCCATCTGTTTATTATGTAAGGAGTTGTACATTATTATTACATTCAAATTTGTTATAGATGGATTAAAAACATACACCATTTAAAAAAAACCATTTGAGACCACTAATACTGCTAATTTAAAAAAAAAAAAAACAAAAAAAAATGTTTGTATCAGAATATGTAAAAAAATTGTCAAAAACTAAAATCGATAGATGTACATAATATATTTCAACTACCTGTACATAACAAACAAACAGACAAACGAAAAAAAAACACTACTTAATATCATTAAACACATAACACTCACTTATAAAGTCAGTTCACCCGAGAGAGGCAAAATTTAGAAACCACTGAGACCTTTGTACACTGGAATTTGGTTATACTTTGAGCGCACACCGTATGTTGATATTTTGGATGATCCACTTTTGGTGAAACTTTTCAGCGATAAGTAGATTTTATAGGTCATCTGAAAACCAATAAAATACGTATTATATATTTTTAATACGAAAATTAAGCAAAGAAAAATCAGTTCAAATCATTTTGATAGATACACAATCAGTGACAAAAAATATCTTCACAGAATGAGCGCACTTTTAATTTTTTTTTTTGTGAAAACAATTCTTTAAGCATTGCATTTAAGGTTCAATTTACATTGTCGTATATTTATTTCAACTAGAACAATTACCGAAACACAATTGGTGACAGTTTTAAGAGAACTTTTGCATGGGATTGTGTATCTAGTAGTTTTTTGATTGATGATTAAATTGAAAGGCAATCATGGCGTTATTTATATAACATATCAATTTGTTACTGATATATGTTAATATAAAATTAATAAAAGAATACAGTAAATCTGTCTAATCTTGACTATGGCCTGATATGATGCGACGTTACAAAGGGTGTACTGACCAGGGCTCCGCTCCCGGGCGTGTCGGGTCGCGCCTCAGCGGTGCGCGGCCCCCGCGGCCAGGTCTACGCAGAGAACGGCGGCGGGGGCGGCGCGCCCTCAGCTGCGCCGGTGGCGCCCGCCGCGGCGGCGGCGCTCACGGCGCGTCTGTTACACAAACAGACACATATATAAATATATTTAAAATAAACGGACAAGTGCGAGTCGGACTCGCCCACAGAGGGTTCCGTACAAATTTGTAGGCAATCTGTTTAACTTAATTAAGTTAAATTTTGGTACTTACAAGTTTTAGCGAAAATCTAAATTTGCCCATTTCTTTTCTTATTTATTATGGTGTTGACTCAAGAACTTGATTTTTATACACCTAATAGGGAGGGACTATATACTTCAGCATCTGGTATAAATTTCAACTTGACAGGTCCCGTTCCTGAGAAAATTGGTGGTGAATCACAGACAGACTGACAGATGGGCAAGAGTGATCTTATAAGGGTACCCTTTTCACCTTTTGAGGTACAGAACTCCAAAAACAAATAATATGTCAACTCACAGTGCCCCCCTCTCCTTCAGCCCAGCGCTCGTAGGCACGCTCCCTCTTCAGCCACTCTTGGTACTTGTACCACCACTCCTCCCACTTGACGTAGTCACCGAGAGTCAGACCTGAACAAACACATAGAATTATTAATATTAATAAACTTAATACTTTCTTAGATTTACGCGAATGTTTGACATTATTAAATAAAACTATCTTTTCGGATTATTTCGCGGATTTATTTTGATTTTTGGTTCCCGACGTTTCGAATGCTTTACAGCATCCATGGTCACGGGAGAGACGACCATGATTATATATATATATTTTTATTTATAAAACTAAAGCTATTAAAAACTAAAACAAAAAAACAAACAGACTGGTTCACAAACAATATGTTTATTTTAATTAATTTAATATATTTCTAATGTATTTCATATAAAAATATTAGCTTTCTACACTAAATCTCCATATAAACTATAAAAAGGGGTACAAAGTTTTTGCTTCACACATTAATATATAGATATCAGGCCTTTTTACAACATCCCACTGCTGGGCACCGGCCTCCCATCAATGTGTGGGGTAATCGGGCCATACCGTCCACCAGACTGACCAAGTACGGGACAGACTTAACAGGTTTGCTCACGATGTTTTAATTCACCGTAAGGCAAGTGGTAATCATGTTGGAAATGATTCGAATGAGAATATCAGAGGTACGATACCCGGGATTTAAACCCGCTTCACTCGGGTTTCCCAAACGAGCGTTACAACTAGAATACCACTGCCCGCGTTATTAATAAATGAATTTATTGTTACTCCCAATTATTTTAACTACATACATTTTATACATTTTTGAATTGCATTTTGATAGGTTTGATGAAAAAATAATTTTCAAGACAGCCAAATTGATGTTTAAAATCCTCCATTTTGCATAATCAAATCAAATCTAACGACATAGCTAAAAGGTAACATAGCCTGACATACATTCCTGAGAAACAAAATACAAAACCCTCCTTGATGCTTTGCCGCAGTCAACAAAATAAAAATCATGAACACACAAACATATAATAAACAACTCACCTCTCAAATAACCCCTCTTCTTATAATAATCATAGCGCACTCTCACATCGTCCCAAGATGGCAGACCTCCCGGAGCAACAGCTAGCAGTTCCTCTGGATAACTTCCTACTGGAGCTGGGTCGAGGCCACTGTGAAAATAAAGCAAATTGATTATACTAATATTATAAATAGGAAAGATTTTTTTGTTTGTTTGTACCGAATAAGCTCTGGAGCAACTGAACCAATTTAAATGAAATTTGGTAAGAAGATAGTTTGAGACTCTGCAAAGGACTTATAATAGATTTTATCCCGAAAATGATCCCTTAATGAAGTAAAAGTTTGTATGGGGAATCAACTAAGGGACTAACCCGAGCAAAGCGAGGTCACTCGCGTGGGAAATAGTAATTTAATATAAAACAAATTATACAACAAAAAAGTCTAATGCAACTTCTGATTTAGATATAGACATTAGAAACAGAAAGTTAAACATGATACCAGAAAACAACAGACTCTTGTCACAAAAACACTCTCTATTTAACCCTTTTTGTTGAATAAATTGTCAACAATTTTTCCTTATTTTCCTTTTATTTATTTATTTGTTATATTTGCTAACTTCTATTGTTTTGAAATTTAACTTGTTTCTATGTTATCCATTTAGGATCTTTTACGCCACAGACAGACACATATATAAACAGAAACACAAATAAAACTTACAGAGAACCTCTAATTACAAGTATTAAATTAAAAAAAACGCAAACTCACGGGTAATCCCCGAGCGGGGGTCTAGCCAGGGGGTCCAGGGGGTCCGCCGGATCCCTCACAGCGTCAGCCGCTTCATCCCTCTCTATATGCACGTGCAGGGCGCTGTCGCGGCGCGTGATGCGCATGTTCTCCAGCCGCGCGCACCTGGCGGCCGACCACTGCGCCATCTTGCCGAACCGCTCCGACAGGGTTAGTCTGAAAGTATTCATATACAAATATTATTTCCGCCAAATAGTAAACGTACATAATTTTTATTCCCACTCGCTTCCATTATATATGCACGCCTGCAATTTGAAGGGTCATCATACGCAGTTAGTTCGCAATTCACCGTTTAAGTTTCGAGACGTAAACCAGCGCGCACCTGCTATAATTTGCATGGAACGTTCGAGTGCTTCTGACGTGGGCCTTGATGAGTACCATCACCGCCATCGCCATCTAACCGCTGCCGTTATCATCATTGGCGCTGAAGCTGGGACCTGACGTAGAACTCCAGCAAGGTAGGCGTGCTTTTTATTCCCACTGTCCACACCCTTTAATTCTCTTTTATACAGTCCACATAAATTTCACTCTTGCTTAGAACCAGCCCTTTACCGCATTTTATACCATAAATAGCATTGCAGCGGCTCCGCCCGCGTTCAGATGACCAAAAAAACAAATTCTTAGGTTCTACATATTAGTATAAGAGTATACAATGCAGTTTTTGTGTTTTTCCTCAAATATGAGATATTTTCCCGCGGTAAAAAGTATCCTATATGTTGACCCGGATAACCAGCTATCATCATACCAAATTACATCAAAATCTGTCCAGTGGTTTTCTCGTGATGCGGTAACAGACAGACAGACAAAAATTCTAAAAACTAGATTCGGACTCTGTATCGATAATAATGTCTATTTCAATAAGATTTTCCAAAAAATATTTAATGTACAGATTCGACTTAGTTACAATTTTAGTATATGTACAGTACAGTATGTTAGCGAAATCGATGTGAATGTTTCACGCAAAAAGTACTGAGCTGACATCACTCGACTCTTTACCGAGTCAGATATGCAGACACACAATGAACCCTATAACTCCTGTTCGCCTTTAGTATATAGAACCCTAAAAACCCATGATTGTGTATTGGGACTAGTGGTGTAACAAATATTCGCATTCGCATATTTTTTGACATTCGCATTTATATTCGCAAGAAACGATGCGAATGCTTGGCGAATGTATTTGGCAAACAAAAAGGAAATTATATAAGGAATGAACGGATGAATTAAAATACTGCTGTGCTTTACTCATTTTATATCACTTTGTCAATTTGATTAGGTATTACTTAAATTTGACAAATGCAATAATACTAAACTATTTTACATCACAACAAATCTTTTCGAACGAACTTTATGTGACTAACTTCGTTCATTCAACCTGTATCGGCTCGGCTATGTTCGGTTTAAACATGGCCGACACGAAATGTCAAACCTGTTTATTTGACATTTTGCGCGCGCTTTGTTTAAAAATCAACATGCGAATGTGTATATTCGCATTCATATTCGCGAACATTGGAGATAAATATTCGCATTCGAGTTCACGAATGTGAAAAATCGAACATTCGTAACATCACTAATTGGGACTATTTTAATATGGGTTTTTCCCTATTGCCTAAGGAATCCTAAACAGTGGTAGTATTTGACCGTATCACCTCTGCGGCTGGGGCTCAGAGCTGGCGTCGCTGGACTCGTCGCTGTCGGAGTCGGCGAGGGCGGCGGCGATGGCGGCGGGCGACACGCCGCGGCGCCGGCGCTCGCCCTCGCGCTTGATGTGGGCGGGCGGGATGGGCGCGGGCGGAGGCCGCACCGCCAGCTGGGAGCGTTGCCACTCCAGCACCTGTTGAGGAGACGGATACAGACATAGGTACGATGAGTTTTATATCCTTTACTTAAGAAATGATTCCCCATATAAACTTCCATACCCTTAAGGGGTCAAACCTATCCTATGTCCTTCTCAAACTTGTTTCAATTTTTTTTTAAATTTTTCTATATGAGTGGAAGCAGGCCATAATTAATATCAATCTTGCTGGAATACCACAATACAATTGAAGTGTCTGTTTGTAATGATAAAATAACAGCTTTTTACTAAATGTATGTTAAATTATGTATATACAACTTATAAGAAAAATACAATTTTTAATTTTTTTGTCTGTCTGTCTGTTTATTCATCTCCGAAACGGCTGGGCCGATTTTGACAGGACTTGCACTGGCAGATAGCTGATGTTTTAAGAAGTAACTTAGGCTACTTGTATTTTAAAAATTAAAACCCCATGAAATTGTAAACATAATCGTACCTAGGGACGCACCTGAGCGAAACAAACTTAAGTGGCCGTTCTTCATAAATTCTCACATAAAAATATCAAACATGCAAGACTTCGGCATTTCTTTCCAAGCCACTTAGTAGCATAAGAGTTTCGAAAAAACTAGAATTCATATACAAATTACAAACCTTTTCCTCCCTGGTTCTCTTGCTGCTCTCCCTCGCTTTGAGCAGCTCCCGTGTGGGCTGCACGGCGCGCGCCGCGGGCGCGGGCGGGCGCTTGGCCCGCGAGGGGGACGGGGATGTGCGCACGCTGCAATAGAAACATTGGTAAATCCATCAAAAAAAGTACTAGGATACACAATCAGTGACAAAAAATGTCCTCACCGAATGAGCACTTATTTGAACATTTACGCATTTTTTTTTTAAAAACAGTGAGTAGCTAGTACAGTATAATTTATGCAACACTATGAATGCTTTAATTCGAATTCAATATGGTCACCAGAGAGACAACTGATAAATACTAATATAATCACTTACCTAGGTTTAGTACTCTTCGGTGGAACCTTCTTGTTCTTAGCAGAGCACACCGAGCAAGACTCGTCTGAACAACTGCTTGCTGAAGAACCCGATGGGGATGACTGGATATAAAAGAAAAAGAAAACAAATTAATATCGCAACACTTGTAACAATTCTTAAGAAGATTATTAAGATTCTATGGGTTATATATGGTGGACTTTATGTGGATTAACTGGTAAGTGGTGTGTTCAAACTCTCAACAATGTTAAAAATAAACCATTATTCCATGGAAATGTACACAAATTTTCACCGATAATAAAGTATTTACTGTCAAAAATCATAATTACTTTAATTGATGTCTAAAAATTTTCTTCGGCCACTGTTAAGTCACCCAAACAAAGCCAAAGTCAGCTGCTAGTCCATACTAATATTATAAATGTGAAAGTGTGTTTGTTTGTCTTTCTTTCACGTCAAAACGGATGGACAGATTGGCATGATTTTTGTGGATGGAGATAGCTGAAGGGCTTGAGAGTGACATAGGCTACTTTTTAACATGGGTGATTATCTCATTCCCACGCGAAAACAGGTTATAATGCAGCCCAAAAAATTATTTATGATCAGTATTACTTGAAATGTGGTATTAATGTTCTTAAATACAATTAAATAAATTTATTTTAGCATTTTTCGAAATTTATTCCATAAGGGGGTAAAATAGGGGCTGAAAGTTTGTATGAAACATACTTTTTAGAGTTTTTTTATAGTTTTAGCGCGAGCGTAGTCGCGGGTTTTTCTAATTTTATATAAATCTAAGTTAATCACCTTTCTGGGGTCAGGCGGGCTGGGCGGCCGGGCTCCACGCGGCGGGGGCGGAGGCCGGGTGCGGCGCGGCCGCGGGCTCGGGCTCAGCCGCCGGCGCACACTGCGGGCCGGACTGCGTCTGTATACAAACAAAACAATGATTATAAAACGGTGGCCAATCTCACTGCTAGCCATCTAAGCAGGAGATATTATTATTAAAATCTATCCTTTTAAAAACCATAAAGTCAGTAAAAACTCTAAACTTATATATCAAAATATAAACCAAACAATACCTAATAGGACTCCTCCTAGGGCTGCGTCTAGGGCTTCTGCGTGGACTCCTGGTGCGCGACTTGCGGGGAGACCGGCGCCCTACCGGCGAGCGGGACCGGCGCCCTATAGACCGGGACCTACGTATGGACCGCGATCTACGAGCGAGACCGGCTGGTGATCTGGAACAGAATTAAAAAGATACAAATTAAACGCAGTGGTAGCCCAGTGGTAACACGTTCGCTTGGGAAACCGAGTGAAGCGAGTTCAAATCCCGGGTGTCAGTATCTATAATAAAATTCCAAGTCAATCTGTACATTAATTATTTTTTGGAAAATCATATTGAAATAGTCATTATTATCGATACAGTGGCCGAATCAATAGTTTTTAGAATTTTTGTCTGTCTGACTGGGCACGCATCACGAGAAAACCACAGGACAGATTCACCCCCCTAGGGATGATTTCCGGAATAAAAACTATCTATTTTGTAGATGAAATTTGGTATGATGATAGCTGGTTATCCGGGTCAACATATAGGATACTTTTTACTGCGGGAAAATATCTCATCTCTGAGAAATCTATACTAAGCATTAAAACGTAGGGACAACCTAGGGACGAATCCGTCCCCCCCAACGTGCGTTCACCTTGTCGTGGTGGAGGGGCTTAGTAGTGCCCGGCAACCCAACCGGGCGCAAAGCCAAGAAACGCACAGGAAGGTGGCCCACTTCGGTGGGCGGTGGGAGGAGGCCCTCTTCGGAGGGCGGTGTACCATGCGGGTTGCTCCTGGTACTTCTCTGATAGCAGAGTGGACCTTGGAGCAACCCCGTAGTTGTTGTGGTCTGCTTCGGCAGACCTGTCGTCGGGGCGTCGTAGTTGAATGCGTAAGCGATCCTGCGACGCCCCATTAAGACGGGGGAAGGCTTTGTTGGGTTTTAGTGGGTAGTACTGGCTTTGCCGGTGAGTCCCACACCTCGTGCGTAAATGCATTTCCCAACGTTAAAAAAAAAAAAAAAGTGACGAATCCGTGGGCGAGTCGCTAGTATTGTAAATGTGAAAATTCGTTCCTAGATCTAGATCTTTGTATGTTCTAGAATCTAGACTTAGACATAGGCTAGCATTAGGCAACTAGGGACACAGCTGAGCAAAGCTAAAGTAAGTCATTAGTTTTAATGATAATTTTCAAACAATTTATTACCTAGACCTTCTCCCGGGGGAACGGGAACGTCTTGGGGAGACCGACCCCGAGCCGTCCAAATACATCTGTTTGTAGCCTGTGTGACGCCACCTACAATATTATAAATAATTTAATTTTCCAAATAAAAAAAAAACACCAATCAAAAACTTAAATTGGTTCATTTTCTGCATTGAAAGAGCATTTGGTAACAGTATTTTTTTATTAAATTTACTTTTCCATAGACAAAGTACCATCAAAAGAGGTTCAAAATAAAAAAAAACGAATTTAATGGACATAAAATGAATGTTCAATTTTATTGCAAAATTTTTAAGCATTTTTCAATACTTATTTATGCCTATCTTGATAAAAAAAAGAAAAATGGCTTATGTAATATACAATATTTGCGTTCACATAGACTACAAAGCAGATAAAACTTTTCACGACTAAATCTCCTTTATGTCAGGAGAATTATTAAAAATAATAATATACCATATATAACTAGCGACTCACCCTCGATCCACTTGGGTTCATGTCCCTACGTTTTACGGTTAGTATAGTTTTCTCAGTGATGAGATATTTTCCCACAGTTAAAAGTATCCTATATGTTGACACGGATAACCAGCTATCATCACCAAATTTCTTCAAAATCTATCGAGTGGTTTACACGTGATGCGTTCCCAGACAGATAGATAAAAATTCGAAAAACTATAGATTCGGCCTCTTCATCGATAACTAGCGACTCATCCTGACTTCCTAGGTTGATTCCCCCCATACAAAATTTCATCCCCATTTTCACCCGTTTAAGGGATGATTTCCAAAATAAAAACCATCTTCTTTTATAGAAGAAGATTGAGACTCTTGGAAGGACATGGGTTAGTTTTTATCCCAGAAATCATCCCTTAAAAATTATTAATTCTGAATTAAAAAAATATGATCAAGCAGCCTATGCGTTAAAGTCATGGACTATCTGTATACTAAACACGCAAATTTGCAGACAGTTCACACAGACATAACAAACTTGCTCATTATTATATTACTATGGTACCAAAGGTCATGTGACTTAAAAAAAGGTAATAAATAATCATTCTTTTTATTTGTTTTTCAGAAACGACGCCATTATAATTCCATTGTTATCACACAGAGTATAAATAAATACCTATTTGGATCCTTCTCTTCCACTTCCAGTAGCTTCCTATCCCAACTGCCGGGGGAGGCTTGCCGGGCTCTCTTCATCACATTATCTATCTCTTTCCTGCGGCCTGCAGGGTTTGAGGGGTCTGTGGAAAAAAAATATCACACAATTTTTTGAAGTGAAACTTCTTTAGACTCGTTGTGATTTGAAACTGTGTGTCAATTGTCTGACAAATATATAATATTATATTGTATCTGTATATCAGACTAATATTATAAACGCGAAAATTTGAAAGAATGCATGTATGGATGTATGTGTGTAACTCTTTCACACCCAATCTCATAGCAAATTTTACTTCTGTTAAGCACCTAGTGGGCTATGTGAACTTGGCACCCGACTTTGGAAAAATTGTTCTTTTTTAGGTTTATTTGAACGATTTCGGTTAGTAGTAGATAGTAGTGAAGCTAACTTCGTTTGTAGTACTGCCAAAAAAAAATACAGACAACAAAAAAAATGTCATCCCCCGAAGTTGGTAAAAAAAAATTTTTCCGCTTGATTCGTTTAGAAAAACGTTAGTAGTGGTTTGTAGTGCAATTTTTTTTCGTTTGTAGTAAAACAAAAAAAAAAAAGATTTTTTCGAGTACTTTTGCAGAACGATTTTTACTATATACATTAATTGTTTCGTTTGTAGTACCATTATTGCATTTGTAGTAACGTTAATTTTGGTTTGTAGTACCATTATTTCGTTTGTAGTTGTTTGTAGTAAATGTAAGTAATGGTACTACAAACGAAACAATTGTACTACAAACGAAATTAACGTTACTACAAACAACTACAAACGAAATAATGGTACTACAAACGAAATAATGGTACTGCAAACGAAATTAACGTTACTTCAAACGAAGTAATGGTACTACAAACCAAAATTAACTTTACTACAAATGCAACAAACGAAACAATGTATGTAGTAAAACTAGTTCTGCAAAAATACTCGAAAAAAATATTTTTTTTTACTACAAACGAAAAAAAATGCACTACAAACCACTAATAACGTTTTTCTATACGAATCAAGTGGAAAAAAATTTTTTTACCAACGTCGGGGAATGACATTTTTTTTGTTGTCTGTATTTTTTTTTGGCACTACTACAAACGAAGTTAGCTTCACTACTATCTACTACTAACCGAAATCGTTCAAATAAACCTAAAAAAGATCAATTTTTCCAAAATCGGGTGCCAAGTTCACATAACCCACCTAGTGTTGCACTTGAAGAAAATGAAGAATGAAAATGAAGTGAAGTCAATAGTAATATAAATAAATAAATATATAAGACGGAGGAGGATTTAGTTACCATTTTCTGCTATGAAACCTTATTATTGTTTAAAGTCACTATGTTCATTAATTTACTTTTTATTGCTTTGATTTTGAATTTAGAGCAGAGATTTAGTCTTGAGCGGGGTCGAGACGCCATCACGACATTCTTTGCAGATACGTGGTTTAGTAAAGTCGGTTGACTATGGTGGATCATAGTTTTCCCCCCCAACGTGCGTTCACCTTGTCGTGGTGGGGGGGCTCAGTAGTAGTAACGAAGCTAAGAAACGCACAGGGAGGTTGCCCACTTCGGTGGGCGGTGGGAGGTGGCCCTCTTCGGGGGGCGGTGTACTTTGCGGGTTGCTCCTGGTACTTCTCTGATAGCAGAGTGGACCTTGGAGCAACCCCATGGTTGTGGTGGTCTGCTTAGGCAGACCTGCCGTCGGGACGTCGTAGTTGAATGCGTAAGCGATCCTGCGACGCCCCATTAAGACGGGGGAAGGTTTTGTTGGGTTTTAGTGGGTAGTACTGGCTGTATTACGCCGGTGAGTCCCACACGTCGTGCGTAAATGCATTTTCCTACGTTAAAAAAAAAAAAAAAAAAATGGTGGATCATAGTTTTGCTTTGATAATGTAGTTGGAAGTCGATGATCGGTGACTGTGAACCCGCTAGCTCTAAATCATTAGAATTACCGTTTCAAGTTTATAACATTGTGACTTCCCTGATTAAATTGTGTATTGAGCACTGAATACTTTATTATTTGAGCCCTGATAACGCCCACAAGATGAGTAACCACCAAAGATGATGTTTGTAGTATATGGATAACACGACATATATATATATATATATATATATATATATATATATAAACGGTCGTCCAGGCACTAAAATGTAAAAAATAATTAAACGGGGGTTTTTCCTTTAGAATAGGTACACAATCAGATATTTTCGATGTCTGTGCCAGCCGATGCCAAGTAAATCTCATATATTTAAAATATTGTCAGTTTTATTTATTTTTTTAAAGTTTTTATTTTTCCATTTTTACTGTAGACGTAATGAGCAGGTACTTAATATTTAACAAGAAAGTTTTTTAATAACATATTCGATTAAGCAATTTATTTAAAAAAATATCTTATTTATTGATTTTTAAAAAAAACTGCTTGACCAATTTCGATAAAATTTATATAGGACCACCTGGGAAGTATACCCTTCGAAACAAAATAATATTTCCAAACCGGTTCAACCGTCTTGGAGTAATCAATGAACAAATACATAAAAAAAAGATTCCAACGACTTGAGAACTTTCTCCTTTTACGCAGTCGGTTAAAAAGCTATTTATCTCACCATTTATCCTGGAGTGTTGCGGGTTACGGTCCATATGCAGGCGGTTCTTCGAAGCCGCCTCGGCCGCCCGCGACACCGACCCGTTGCGACGGGACGACATTCTGAAATTAATAGTTATTAAATTAAAACCAAGATATCAATATTATTTCTTATACATATTTTGGATATTTTTTTATTAAAATAAATAATATTTTGTCAGTGGGACTCCTTATTCCATAATATCATTGTCAATTTTTTAAGGCACCTTCTAAATAAATACAACATCATAAAGCCCAACAAATATTACTAGCATTAAATACATTCGAATACATCTAATAAACATATACATGATCAATTAAATACTTCGAATCTAATTAACACCATGCAGGGAAGTTCACATATTGGCATATCATGACTTTTAAAGAAAAAAATCATCATCTCTTATCAAATCTACAACTTGTTTATAAAAAACTAAGGACTAATCCTTGCTTCACATCGGGTTTGTCCTTAGACAAAAACAAATTTATCTTATGGAACTGTACATTTATCCGGGATAAAAAGTAGCATATGTGCTATTCTAAACTATAATCTATCCGTTCATCAATCTGTCCTCGCAAACTTTCACTTTCATAATATTAATAGGATATGTAAACTAGTATTACTTATAAATAAATATAAATATGTTGGGACATTAACACAGCACTATCTAGTTCCATGGTAAGCTACGAGGCCTGTGTTATGGATGCCAGATAGTTGATACACTACACATATGTAACTTTAAATACATACATATTATAAATATAAACACCCATGATTAGAGTACAAACATTCATGCTCATCACACAAATGAATGCCCCCAGCGGGACTCAAACCCGCGACCGCTGGCACAGCAAGTTGGGTTGCTACAAACTGAGCCAAATGTGTTGTCAACTTATGGGTAAACCTTCTATTTGACAAATTCATTCAGTTTTTATAATGGCACAAAATATAAGGGCAAAATTTATAGCTTATATAGCCTAGACATAGGATTAAATTTCAAGTGGACATACAAGGTAGGTTACTAACTAAAACACATTAAAAATTAAAACAAAATTAACTTACTACTTGTAATTAATTACCAAAACCATGTAATATAATACAAAATTATATATCTTATTAAAATTTAGGACTCAAATGTCAAAATTAGATGAGCAATATAATATTATAACTATTCAAACTCACCAAAGAAAAGACAAATTATAATTAAACTGGGAAATTATATAATTTGGTAACCAATTGTATTATATTATAAAAACAAAATAAGAACATTTAAAAAAATCATCAACAGTTAAATTATATCAATCAGTATAATTTTTCTCTTGCCTAAACTATTAATTAAAATATATTAAAAAGCATATTTTTTAATTAAACATAAAAACACAGAACTATACTGACAAGGAGAAAAAAAAAACAATTATAAACAACAGTGTTATTAATTCTTACTCTATGCACTCACCTTGTGTTTTAGTGGATCATTTATTCGGCAATTGAGTAATTTAAAAATAATTATTATTTTCAATTCATTATGCAATATACAAATATTGACTCATAATGACATAAGAGGTCAAGGTCAAAGTTGAGTCTAAACTAATGTCATTTTAAATAACAAAATGGTAGTATATGTTACTAATGATAAGAATTGACAGTTCCAAGGGGTCCTGGTTCTCAGATATTTTTCACATACACATTAAATAGACGCACAATTTTTTGATATATATTTTTTGATTATAAAATAAAAAAATATGGGCACACAGATGCTGATAAAAGAAAAAAGGTTTTAAAAATATCCAAAGCTTTATTACAGTCTTTGTAAGCTCAACACATACAGCTGATTTTATGTAAAGCCCACATAATATTTGTCACAATTAAGCTGACATAGGCTAGGCTAGTAAGTGTATTAAATGATTTTGCAAATTTGAAACCATAAGATAATTAACTACTTCTGCTTACGCCTACTTACTGATTAATCTATTTTTACTTTCACAAAATGGCCGACGAGTATTGATTTTTCCGCAGCCACTCACCTGGCGTGAATTTTGAAAGGCTTACCTCGATTACTCCGCTCGATACCCAGGAGCGAGGGCTCCGAACGCGCGCGGCGTGACGCGAGGGGCGAAGCCCCGGGGCGGCGCGGGCTCCGGTGCCACGCGGCGGGACGCGATGTCCAGCAACGCCGCTGTAACCCAACCGACATACTTAACATCACGATATCGCGACGCGACGAATGTGCGATTGTCGCAAACGGTCGCGCGTTATATGCCCACGCCAGGCGAACATGCAGCCTCCGGGCGTACGCGGCGGCGGCCTCGCGATATAGGCCAAACGACATATGCACATACGGATCACCTCTAAACTCAACTCCTTTGTTGTCATCCTTGAAATCTCCTGATTGGAAGAGCTGAACATCAAACATACTAAATCCACCTTAATTAATCACAAAACAAAGTTACGAACCAGTAATGAACACGAAAACTTTCACTGCAGTTCTATGTAGATGATAACTCTCTATATATTTCCGCGACACACCTTTCTCGAAGCATCGGCCATTTTGATTTGCTGGATTTGCGACTTGCAAGCCATTTGAAAAATAAAAACTTGAAAGTACATTTGACAGCTGCGTTTAGTTTATACTCTGTATATTTGGAATCTATATATTCTTATTTAAAAAAAATACAAAATTTTATGAAAGTAATAAGAATAAATAAATGAAGAAAAAGCTACAATTTTTTCAACTATCATAAAAATAAAATTTAAATTCATTCCGTTCTACAGTTTATTTAATGAAACTGAACATGTCAATGTCAACTTCATATTAAATGCTCAAGAATAATAATAATTGCTATTTTAATTTTTAATCATGATTATAATTTTTTAAGACCTACGTAAAGCATTACGCAGCGTTTACTGTGTAATATTAGAATAAATTTGTATATTTCTTTGTATGACTTACATTTTATTTATTAAAAACTGCTGCAAAAGGCAAAACATTTTAAACTGGCAAGGTATCATAAACCAAGTAGAACTTAACTAACATTAAAACAAAATTAGTGCGGTTACGTCGGCGTTAGTGGGTAGTGTTATCCGTACATTAGATTTTAAGTTTTATTTACTTTAGCTTTCTTTTTAAATTTTATTATATATACAAATAGTTTCTCGTGCTTCATAGTTATTATTACAAAATATAATTATATAAAAGATATATTAAATTCTAGTTATAGAGGAATATTTATAAAAGCCGATTGAATAAAATAAATCTATAATATTTACACAAATAAAATTACTGTAATAAAAATATTTCTAACTCTTTATTACCTTATAAATAAATAAATATAATAATAAAAGCAGAATTGAAATTTTAATGGACTTACAAATTACGGCTTTACGAAGAACAGCAAACGCAGAAGAAAGCAATATTGAAGGTAAGCAAAAAATAATTATTAATAAAATTATTAATAAAATTATTAATAAAATTTTGAATATATTTACTTATAATTATTAATATTTAATAAAATTGCTTCTCCATCTCGGTATCCTTATTTTGGACACTTTTATTAATTCAGTTACTTTGTCAATTAAAAAAAAATGTTATTTATTACTTGAAACTAGATACGTGAACGTGTGAAGTTTAAGTTAATGGTCTTTCTCCTCTGAATTACCCATATGCTGCTAAAGAAATCAAGTAGGTAGTCATTTAAGATATGCATGGATACTAAAAGACAATTTTTTGGTCTTTGGTTTCGTCGAAATAACCATATGAACTCATATATAACTAAATTTGCAATTTTATTTATAAATATATATTTTATTATGCAATCATGTTTTTATTACAAGGATAATTTGAAATAAAAGGATTAAGTTGATATCGAGTTATTATCGATTTGATTTTCTTATGATTCATTGTTTTATTGCTAAGCTAATATAATATCATAAATACGTTGAACACTCAGGGAAATGTTTGCTTACACCTGTCCAATAAGCTTTGAAATTATAATCTTGGTAAAATTGTTGAATGTTCTTCACAAACCGAGAATCGAACCTATATATAACAGTATATTATTATTATGTATATCTATATATATCAGTATAATATATACCTCTAGCCCATGGCAACGAACAAATCAAATAATACTCGACAGACCTGTTATCTTGTGTGTTGTGCTTATTTTTAGACTTTCTTATTATGAGGCTGTCAATGAAAACGTGGACAACTTTAAAATATTTTGGGTGGAAATAATTTTATGGCGCTTAGGCATGTTTAGCAGGAACTAATTAAAAATAAACATTTATTTTTACTTTTGCGTAGTACCTAATGTTAATCACGGAAACCGGACAAAGCATACGTCTACTTCAAAATATCTAAAGACATTATTCCCGTCTAAGGGTTCTATGTTATTGGGATTTATGCGAGACTACTATAGCCTATGCATTAGAAAAAAAAACGAAAATTTAGAATTTAAAATAAAATTTGCGAAATAATCACGTCATAGAGTATATTGCTACATATATAAAAATCACGTTTTATACACACAAAAATGACACACAGGATTCTTTCTGCTTCTGTTTGAATTGTCAAAAAGTAGATTAATATACTTCTTATAGAATTAATGTATCTTTCCTTTTAGACCCTACACATAAAATCACAAACACCTATTTTTAATATTAGATTAATAAATTAAAAAAAAATACAATGATATGTCATTTACGCCATTTTGCACTGAAACTTGATAGCGTTCTCAAGAGTCAAGACATCATTTGTATGGGATAAATGTCACAGCAGGTAAAATGTTTTTTGTTGGAAACTTCGAGACTCGGGGTGCATAAATTTAAGAAGCTATTGGCTATTTTAAAATTGACTGGCTTTATACTACAGACTTAGTTGACGAAGGTTCTAAATAAAATGGTCTACAGTAAAAAGAAATGGATTTCATTTCTAATATTAGCCCGGATATGTCGTCTTAAGTGAAGCTTAGCGTAGAAAGACAGGGGTGTCTTGGTTTAAAGATTTTGAACAAAAATAAAATTGTCTGAAGTTTAAAATATATTTTTTTTCTTAAATGTTTCATTTTATTTATTTATTTATATATTGTTCTAGACGTATAAAACTTTTGTATTTATTTTTGTATTTATTTTATATATATTTAGTTTGTAGTCTAATTTTATGGAAAAGTATTCCGAATTAAAGATTTATTATTATTATTCTTAAAATTGTCTATTTAAATCGGAATTCTGTGAAGCAGGGATCATGTGCAGTTATTGTGGCCAAAAAGTACAATTTTCTTAGATTTAGGCGAATATTTGATATTTTCAATAAAATTATTTTTATAAATGCTTATAATTAAATGATATTTACAGATTTGTACAAATTTTGTGCAATATTTTACGAGTTTTGATTTTTTTGTTCCTGATGCGACGTTTCAAATGTATGTATGTATGTATTCAGCTCTTTTTAACTTCACACTGCTGAGCACGGGCCTTCCTTCAGTTTGAGAGGAATCGGGCAACCACGCTAGCCAGGTGTAGGTTGGCGGACTTCACATGTCTTTCGAAAACTTGCTAGGTTCTTTTCAGACATGCAGGTTTTCTCACGATGTTCTCCTTCACCGATAAGACAAGTGGTAATCATGTTGGAAATGATTCGCACATGAAAATATCAGAGGTGCGAGACCTGGGATTTGAGCCCGCTTCACTCTCATTTCTGAGAAAAATTACAAAAACTGCATCGTAAGAGTATACTAATATGTAAAACCTAAGAATTTGGTTTTTGGTCATCTGAACGGTGGCGGAGCCGCGGGCAATGCTGGTAAAAAATAAAACCGAATTATTTAATAAAACCGAATTATTTAAATTCAAAAACGTCAATATTAGGCCAACCGCCACAATATGACAGAAGCTCTATATCAAGTATTAATTATTTGCACAATATCTTGCCATCTTTCATCGGCCATAAATGAAATAAATGCGAGCGAAGCTGCAGGCACAAGCCAGTCTAGTAATACATGTTTGTGGAGTTGCTCCTGCTTAATAAACTCTGGAATGTGGTTTGAATGGTGTTTTCCTTATAGGGAGCTTTAATTTAAAATTTATCCATAAAATCCCTTTTTCCCTTAAGGAATCTAAATTCTTTTCAACCGATTTCTAAAAACAAGAAGGCCCTCGACTAGGTGATTATTTTTGTATCTACGCTGATTGTAAGCCGTTTTTCACAATTCAGAATTTTGAATAATAATTTTAAATAAATCGTATAAAAATACTATTAAGTATTAGTTTACTATAGAAATGATTTCCGCGATGTGTTATCAAGTGTTTTACTTTTAGACACCCACGCACACGAGGTAAGCTAGGGAAGTCGCTAGTCAATGATAGAGGTAAAATTTATTTAAATTAGCTGGTTTTAAAAATACAGATTTTATGTATGTAAATGTTAGAACGAAGCCGTTATAAAATATCTTAATAAAACAGATAACTGTTTTAACAATAGGTAACTTAGCTAACGTCCTAATTATTAATTTAATTAGGAATTTCTTGAAGTTAATATAATAAAGTTAATATAATATATTTAAAACAACTGATGACTCGCTCGTTCACTCCGCTCGGGTTCGTCCCTAGTTACGTTTTAACGTTTAGCTCAGAGATGACATATTTTCTCCGCAGTAAAAAGTATCCTATATGTTGAACCGGATAACCAGCTATCATCATACTAAATACCATTAAAATCTGTCCAGTGGATTTTTTTGTGATGAGGTCTCAAACAGACAGACAGACAAAAATTCTAAAAACTATAGTTTAGGTTTCTGTATCGATAACAATGTCTATTTCAATTAGATTTTCCAAAAAATACTCACGCTCGCTTCGCTCGGGTTCGTCGCTAGTTACGTTTTAACTTTTTTGAGCGGAACCTTAATTCTTTTTCTAAAATAAAAGTAGCTTATGTTACTCCCATAACATCAGCTATCTTCCAGTGAAAGTCCCGTCAAAATCAAATCAGTAAAAAGTATCCTATATGTTGACCCCAATAAGCTATCATCATACCAAATTTCATCAAAATCTGTCCAGTGGTTTTTTTCGTGATGCGGTCTCAAACAAACAGACAGACAGACAAAAATTCTGAAAACTATAGATTCATAAGAATAAGATTTTCCAAAAAATATTATTATATGTATAGATAAAGGAAGAAAAGGACACAGTTTTAGTCTATCAAGTAATGGCCGACTGTACGACAGGTTTATCGGTAGCATACCTGTTTCACGCGATCGCTGCGTGCATGTTGCTAGGCAGTTTCACTCACCACCTTTCACTTTGCTGTATAGATTTTGATTGCATTTTTATTATTAAATCGATATTTATCCAACGGGAATGTAACTACTACGTTTTATTTAAATCGAGTAATATTATCTGTCAATGTCAAACTCAAATTTGACGTTTGCTAATTTTTGGTAATTTTTTTTTGGCCTTAAAGACACAAGACAAAGAATAATATTATAATAAATAAAGTTTCATTTGTAAGATATCTGAATATGCCTTATTTTTTAACGATAATAGTTCAAATTAAATGTCTACAGTTTTAAGAAACAAAAAGCAAC